AGCTGTCCGGGCAAAAGCCATTCCTGGGGCAGTGATAATGACAGGAACCACTTCAGGGTTCATTAGGGCCAAGGTGAGGCGGGCGGTGGGGTCTCCAAAGGCGGGGGGAGGCGATCCCTAACAATGAGGAATCGGCGCTAATAATGGGGAAATAATCGCTAATAATGCGGAAATAATCACTAATAATCGCTAATAATGGGAAATAATCGCTAATAACGGGAAATAATCACTAATAATGCGGAAATAATCACTAATAATCGCTAATAATGGGAAATAATCGCTAATAACGGGAAATAATCACTAATAATGCGGAAATAATCACTAATAAGCGCTAATAATGGGGAAATAATCGCTAATGATGGGGAATAATCCAAAATAAAGGGGGGAAATGGGGGAATGGCCCCTAATAATGGGGCAATAATGGCTAATAATGGGGCAATAATGGGGCAATAATGGCTAATAAAGGGGGAAATGGGGGAATGGCACCGAATAATGGGGAAAATGGGGAAATAGCAGCTAATAATGGGAAATAGCGGCTAATAATGAGCAAATAGTGGTTAGTAATGGGAAATAGTGGATAATAATGGGGAAATAGTGGCTAATAATGAGGAATATATGGCTAATAATGGGGAAATAATGGCTAATAGTGGGGAAATAGCAGCTAATAATGGGAAATAATGGGTAGTAATGGGGAAATAACGGTTAATAATGGGGAAAATATGGCTAATAATGGGAAATAATGGCTAATAGTAGGGAAATAGAGGCTAATAGTGGGAAATAGCGGCTAATAATGGGCAAATAATGGTGAATAGTGGGGAAAATATGGCTAAAAATGGGGAAATAGCGACTAAGAATGGGAAATTGCTGCTAATAATGGGCAGATAATGGCTAATAACAGGGAAATAATGGCTAATAATGGGCAAATAATGACTAATAACAGGGAATAGCTGCTAATAACGGAGAAATAGCTGCTAATAATGGGAAATAGCTGCTAATAACGGAAAATAACGGCTAGTAATGGGGAATAGCTGCTAATAATAGGCAAATAATGGCTAATAATAGGGGAAACCCGGCTAATAATGGGCAAAGAGCGGCTAATAATGGGCAAATAACGCCTAATATTGGGCAAATAATGCTAATAACGGGGAACAGCTGCTAATAATGGCCAGATAACGGCTAATAATGGGCACACCCCACACCCCCCCCAGTT